TCCCTAGGTTTGGGAATGACTTGGTCGGGTTGGCCATCTATCTTAATAGTCTTAGTAGGTATATACAGCCCATATTCAATCACTTCCCAAATGTTGTAATCTATGGATTGAATATAAATCGTCATTCTAGCCTTCCAATAATTGTAATGTGTTCCATCAAAGAAGGGAGGTCGATTGGCAGAGTGGCCTTCAAGAGATTGAAACATTTGGTTAGCCATTTACTCTAGATTGTGAAGTCTAAGTAAGTGAGTACATTTGCTCTGAAACCAATTGAAAGCCCAAGACTAGCTAACCAAGAGGGGGGGGAATTGGTTATAGTAGCTTTTTCAAAATAGTTTTAAATATACAATTAATTCTCACTTAAATGTAGCAATTAGTCAAATATGAAAGGAAACGAAGACTAAGATAAATTCACAAGTATTAAGTAAAAACAAAAATAAGTAAAAGGGAAGAGAAGTCAAACGATATGATATGGAGGTTCAATCCAATGCAATGATCTACGTCTTCCGTTATCAAGCTCTCCGTCATGAGCAAGGCCTTTTTCACTATATTGATTGACTTATGGTGCAATCCAACCTTCTTACAACGCTTTCGATGACTTACAAGTAAGGAGCACCATTCCTTTACAATGTTGAAATTTCTGGGACTTCAACCCGACCCACAAGTTTGAAAAACGAGGAGCATACAAGTGAAGACTTTTCTTGTAATAAATGATATAATTGAAGTTGAATACAACAAGAGAAGATGACTAACACTTTAGTAGATAGCAATGATTGAACCTCAAGTGTTAGATAAGAAACGTTTTGATAAAAATGATTTCCAAAAGTTGAATCAATCAAAGGCTTTTCTAATATAAATAAGTTGAAGCAATAGATATATATAAAGATGATTTGAGTAGATAGATTAGTAATATCTCACTTTAAATGCTCATGAAAGTCTTACATTGAATCGAAAATGATCTGGTATTTATAGCAGCAAAACGGTCAAAAGTTTTGTTCTACCGGACGAGGATAATGGATGTCCGCTAGCTTACCGGACGGTCAAGTAACCGTTTTTTGTTCAGAAGTCAGAATGTTCGATTTCTTAACCGTTGGACAAACCTGTCATACCGGACGTCCGCTAGAATTATCGGATTCATCCGTTAGACCTACCGAATGCGTCCTCTAACTATCAGATGCATCCTCTAGTTCAGCTCGTGTTTGGAAATTTTCCTTCTTTAAATAATATAACAAGATGTAATTTCATGAAGGATGTTTCTAACATGTTTTACAGACTTTTTGACATTTCTTAAAGTATATAATAGGTTTATGCTTTTCTTTATACAAAAATTGTGTTTGTCGTGCGAAAAAACGTTTCTTGAGCTTCAAATAACGTATATGTCAAATACTAAAGTGTTTTACCTTAACATTTGAAATCAAGGTGTTTAAATCTATTTTCTTCTTTGTTTAACTTGATGAAGTGCTCGTTGTCTTGATGTGTAGCTTGGTTTCTACTTTGTCCAATTTTGCGAGAGCTCCAAAAGCATCCTTTTATCATCGCTTGTCATATACTTTTATAATCACTCAAATACAATTGTTAAATAAATTTTGTTTGTTATAATCAAAACGAGAAGTCTACCATAGGTCAACAAAAAAATTAATTCTCAAAATTCCTACCGAACATGGCTAAGATTACAACCAGACGGAGAAATTGGGCAATTAAATAGAAAATGTATGGACATAAGTGTAAGATAGATAATGGTAATTTTTGGCATGACAAAAGGAAAATTAGTTTAGGGGTTTTTAGAAAATCAATCTTTAAACTGGCTACACCTTGTAAAGTTGGGAAAAAAAAAAAAAAAACATTGTTAACCTGATAAGATTGACACGACAATCCTAATTAGCACCCAATGTCTTAAACATCAAATGGGCCAAGTTTAATTTTAGATTATTCCTCTATCTTGAATATCATGTGCAGTATGACATAATATGAAAGTCACCTATGTAAGTGTGAAATAAGGTCACCTTTATGAAAATGTTTTAAAGTTTACCTTTTTTCTTTTTTTTAAAGCACTTATGAAATTCAAGAATTGTTCAAAAATAAATAAACATAATCTTGAGAACTCGATAACGTTAAGAAGGTTATTGCATAGAAAGTTCAAACCCAATGTACCTATCCTAATGTAATAGCTTTTTGTTAGTGTCTAAATAGTAGAATCATATTGTTTTCATTCATGTGAGTAATTCTGAAAATTTGTAATATATAGCAATTAAGCTTGTTTTCACCTACATTGATCAATTATTTGAGCAGGGTTCCATTAGTCAAATATGGAGCTCTTTGGCCAAATATGTTCTACTCCGTGAGTATATTGCTATAGGATTTTCACTTGCTCGAAACAAATTTTTGGATTAATGGTAAAATTAATTCAAAAGAGAGCTGTTTGAAACTTGAAAAATTGAAAAAGTCCTATTCTTGCATTGGAAGGTGAAGGGACATTGAACCACTTTAAATAGCTCAAATTTGACATTTGAATTTGAATTTGAGCCCTCAAGAGTACTCGACTATCTTTGGAAGAGAGATGATTTGTGTATTGATGGGTTCAAACCCCACATGCTTGTACTACGCCACTAGCACCGTCGGCCAAGCGAAGCATGGGCATGCGTTGTGGGTTTGGACTAGGTCCAAGTTGATGGTGTATTATTTTTGTACAGAAATATTAAGCCCTTGTTTGAGCCCTATTTTGTCTATCATAATGTATATTCTTGAACAATGATGATCCCATTTCAATGACACATTTTTTTAATAAAATAATATTACACGTAAACTCAAATTTTTTATTTTTATTTTTTAACCACACATTATCCGTCATGACATTATTACAAAATGCATTTAAAAAAAAATGGACTCAAACAAGTCCTAATTATTTAGAACTACACTACACTTATAGGAAGGAAGTTCATAGATCACACACTATTCACGGAATGGGTGGTTATATTTTTTCAATATAAAACTCACATGGAACCCACCAATGTGAGTTTTTTGGATATATTCTGTGAGAATGATTCTGTACAATCAGAATTATTGAATTATTTATTGTCCCACGTGTCAGAGGTTTCTAAAATGTCTATACAAGTGTCAAGAACATCGTAAACAAGAAAAATGAATCACTCTTGCATTCTCCATTTTCGAAGTGTTTTTTTTCCCCCCTTTACCTCTTTCTTCTACCTTTGTGTTTATATACATCATTTGGCTAAGATAAGTTAACGTTCTATCCGTTTGATTAAATAAAATTAAAATATATAATTTGTACCCTAATTTTCTTTCATGTATAAAGCTATTAGTTATAATTGTATCAACCAAATTTTTATTTTTCATACCAACGTCGGTCGAAATATGTCAATTGTATCAAGATTCTCAATGAAATGGAAATTCTCTCAATTGTAGAGTAATGATATCTAGTATCAGTGGTACCAAAGCATGAGTCTATATGAAAATACTTGATAAGTTCAATTAAATGAATTATATGACAATACATTTAAGTGAATCTATTATTTAATAGGATGCTAAACCGATATTTAACACAAGTGATAACTGATAATAAATAACATTTTTCTCGTCCCAAAAGTATTACTGAAAATATCTCTTTGACTATAGTGTAATAGCAATGAGTTGGCAAGACCGTGGAGGCTGATTAAGAAGTTTCATACGGAAACGCATGAGATAATCTCTGTACAGATTGTGGGTTTTGTTTATTCTGTTTACAATTTGAAGATCGTTCTTTTTGGGAAATGAATTTTCTTGAAGTTATTGCGTGGATGCTGTTCTATTATGTAGACAGCAAGAAAATACATTTTTTTCAAATGTAAATTTGAGAATTTTAGTATCCCGTAGGTTAATTTAGTGAAAAAAAAAATTGTTTTACCTAAACTAGATTTGGTTTCAGATCTGATGAAATCCGATGGTGTTGGAAAAATAGAAAATGCTTGAATGAGAAAATTGTACTCAAGTTTTGAAAAGAAAGGGATTTAAATTCAATCTGCATTTTTAATAATTGTCATATGATTTAAAAGACTTGTTTCTGTTCTAAGAGTTGTCTCGTTTTATATTATAATAATTGCATCCTTAATTATTAGGGTAATTAGCAAAAAAACATTCATACATTTCAATGTTATTGTGAAAAACTTTCAAATTTTTCGTTTTTCGACATTTTCATCCTCATTTTCACCTTTCATTGTGAAAATCGTAATTTCCATCCAATTTCTCAATTAAAAAAAGTAAAATGACAAATATACCATTTTATTTAAATAAAACAATAAAAATAAAATAAAAATTAAAGAACAAATTGCAATCATAATCCCAAACATTTTTAAAAAATGCAAATTAGTCCAAATAAATTATTAAAAAAGTAATAGTACAAAACGTCCATACATTTTAATATTATTGTGCAAAACGTTTATACCTTTTATTTTTTAACATTTTCACCCTTACTTTGACATTTCATTGCAGAAATCATCATTTCTTATCTATTTTCTCAATTAAAAGCTATAAAATGACGAATCCCCTCATATTTAAACAAAACAAAAATAAGGAAAAGAAAAAATGATGAACAAATTACAACTATACTCCCAAAATTTTCGAAAATGTTCAAATATTCTAAATAAATAATTAGAAAAACAAATTGTCATAATCATGAGTTCCATTGGCTCGGGTTATTTTGAATTACTTCTTTAGTGTATCATAAGTTTAATTTAAATTCGCATCTGCAAGTTCTTTCATTATGGGTTGGTTTCTTTCATTATGGATTGGTCGACTTATCATTCTTCACCACTTGATTTTGGCCTAATCAACCTAATACTATATAATATAAATTGTAGCAATACACCGAATTTCATGCAAATTGTTATTATAATTATCTATATTCGATATTTAATATCCATACTAGTCCTAGAGAAGTGGCAAATGGCAGATAAATGGGGAGTCATTGCAGGCCATTTCAACTCTGGCCAAAGGGTTGTCTTTTATGGAAAGTCAATTAACAAAGGAAATTAATGTTCATCACCAAATCCCTGTAGACAATTACTTATATATCTTCATATACTAAGTGAAAGTTACTATTCTTTCATTGCCAAAGTTGTGAAGAATTATATTTTGTGGCCGGTGCAGGCATGGGGAAGGCAAGCAAATGGATCAGAAATATCTTGATGGGGAAGAGAGAGGAGAAGGACAAGAAATTTGCAGATGCTTTAGTTTCTACACAAAGTTTAGGGACACCAATGGAGATTCTGCCATCAACTCCTAAAGTTAAAAGGAGATGGAGTTTTAAAAGATCAAGCAGTACAAAACCCATTACACACAAAAACAATAGGTCTTTCGACTCAATTATGAATCCCAAGTTAGAGTTTCTAGCATATGAGAATGAAGAAGATCAAGTTGGAAGAGTTTTGATGGCAAGAGATGAATCAAGAAATATAGGAATGGACATACAAGCAAATATTGCGGCTACCAGAGTTCAAGCTGTCTTTCGTGCTTATTTGGTAAGTTCTCGTTAATTTCTTTCTCTTTAGTAAGAACAATTTTGAATAAAACTACCACGAGCAAATAGCCACAAGCATTTGTTTTCCAATGGTAATGTTTGCAGGCAAGGAAGGCGTTGCGAGCTTTAAGAGGATTAGTGAAAATACAAGCTCTAGTAAGGGGTCACCTGGTAAGAAAACGAATGGCTGCTGTTTTAAGGTCCATTGGTGCTGTAATGGCAATTCAAGTTAGAGCTCGGGTTCAGCGAGTCAAAATGGCAGATGAAACGAGAAAAACTTCCAGGGAATCAGCTTTGGACTACCAGCGCAGGAATGGATTTCGGGTCAGTTCCCCGGTTTATTCACATAAAATTATGATGCATGCAAGATTTACAGAAATTTCAGCACATATTGATATCAAAATGGCTCAATAAAACTTAACAATGCTAAAATGCAATGGACAGCAAAAGTACGAATGCTAAGAAATCTAATATTTAGTATTGGAAAAACAACACCTATGGTCCTCATTCTATACTTAAAAACGAGCACTTATGTCCACTGTGAATTCCCCCCAAATACATGCTTTAG